GCTAACTTTGGTAATGCAGCTAACACTGCTAATGCTACTAGATTTGCCAATGCAGCTGACACTGCTAATGCTGCTAACTTTGCTAATGCAGCTAACACAGCCAACACTGCTAATGTTGCTAACTTTGCTATTGCTGCTCACACTGATAATGCTGCTAACTTCGCTAATTCAAAACTCTGCTAATGCTGCTAACACTCCCCTACAAGACATCAAACTTGCAGCTGCAGCTGGTTTCCAAGCTGGACCACGGGTAAAATCCACATTGTTTTCAATGACCACATTTTGAATTTAAACTTTAAATGCCATTTTTGGCAACATTTGCAGTGTTGGCAGCATTAGCTTTAGCTTTTGTTGCAGGATGTTAACGCCAATAGTAAAGGCTATTTAACACTGTTTAGTGTTAATTTAACTCTAGATCTTSACAGGGACCACTGGAGACAGACACCAGCTTCCCTGAGATCCTGAATGGAAAACYTGATTAAAGAAAATGGATGCACGATGGATAGATGTAAAACCGGTGCTGTTTAACTCAAGACACTTTTAGAAATGGCAAYTAAACAAATAGTTTTAGAAAGACAGTGTTTCCTTGTGGACAAGGCCTAAAACGTCTCTCCCAATGGTGTTTATCTTGTTTTACAACTATTATCCTGCAGCCAAACCGCTTTCCTGCTCATTTGTTTCTCCACAATACAGCTTTAAGATGGAGATAAATTTGGAGGCTTTTAGCTCCAAACTGAGCTACAAATTTAAATACGAATGGGGAAGAAATCCAAAATGTGCCAGCAAAGACTTAGRGAGACGCTAATCTTTGGCTGAGATGTTCTGGAGCTTCCGCACGCGTTAACGGACCATTACGGTAAATCCCAAGCCCTGGCTCCCATCTTCACCACCCCTCCTCCGGCTCTGTGGGAGCAGACAGCAGGGAGCGCAGTGTGGGCATGTCCCTGCCGCCTAAATGAATGAATGATTAATGACAATTATGAGACACTCCGCACAGGTTTATATAGATTCCCATAAAACTGGGAGGACCTCGTCCTTTTGATGGCTACCAAAAACCCTGACGTTTGTGCTAATGAGCCAAAGCAACACATTCATGCGCTCAGACATACTGCTGTGCGGCGACGGCTTTAAATTATTCTTTATTTGTGTTTGCAAGAAGCACAGCTTATGCATACACAGACAGTAGCATAAATAATTCTGCGCCGGAACGGTTGGGCTTGATAAAGTCTATTAATTTTTCAGTGATTTAGGATGGAGAGCTACATGCAGTCTCAGTGTTTGCTGCTTGTGCATTATGCACATATTATGGCTCCATTTGTCATGTTTAGATGTGGTCATTTAAACCAGTTATTGTCACTTATGGCCTCATTCAAACTGCTTTTACAGGGAAGTTTATTTGACTTTGTCCACATATAAAAAATATGTACATTTTACAACAGAACCTATCGCATATGATCAAATAATACATTATATTACAGTAGATAGTAGCTGGGAAACAGCAGTCATAATTAAAATAATGTGTTATTAGTTTAAAACCTGGGTATGCATTTTATGTTGGTGTGAAAATGGAATCATCTTAAAAAAAACTACAGTATTAAATGAAAACATTTCAGGTGCTTTCAGTCACTGTAAGATTTCACTGATTGGTTGGACAGTGCAACAGACAAAACAATAATTCTGCTTTAATAAAACATGTTAGTTTATGTGTTGTGTCAAGAATGTTAATGTAAAAGGTGAAGCTAGGTTGGAAAGCAAATAATGTGATGTGTTTAATTTAAATGTATGGAGTTATTGAATGACAGCAGTGCACAACTGACCTCACCATCTTTGAATATCAACACGTTTATTTGTTGTGAGCTAAACTCTTCTAAGATAAACCTTCAAAATAACAAAGACAACGCTGGGTTGCTGTCTTATTATCCACAACCAAAGAGATTTGTCTTTTTATCGGTATCAAAAGGAAGCAAATCAAAGAAATACTGTAAAGAAGTAAAGAGGTGAGACTGGACTCAAGTCCCATTTTTCTTAGTTTACTTTCAGATCACTCCWTGGTTATCCAGTAAAATAAGAACTTTGCAATTAAAGAGAAAAAACTTGTATAGGTCCTCTGGACGGGTTCTTCTCTAATGAAACGTTTCGTCTCTCCTCCAAGAGACTTCTTCAGTCTGAGAGTTTCAGGC